TCTCTCTCTCTCTCTCTCTCTCTCTCTCTCTCTCTCTCTCTCTCTCTCTCTCTCTCTCTCTCTCTGTGTGTGTGTGTGTGTGTGTGTGTGTGAATGTGTGCATGCATCCGGGTCATCAATCCTCCCATTTGAACCTTAGTTTTGGAGGCCTGGTTTTTACTGGGTGTGTGTTTTGTTATGACCGGTTTTATAGTAGTTATCACTGGACTGGGAGCGTTGTACTGATTGCAACACATCAGCATCGTGCACTCGTCCACCTCATATGGTATCTATCTGCCCATTGTATTTGAGTTATACAATATAAATAATTAACAACCATATAATTACAAATGATTCTCGTCCACCTCATATGGTATCTATCTGCCCATTGTATTTGAGTTATACTTTTGATCTTTTTTGTTTGACGTAAATTTATGTAAATCATACTACGATATAAATAATTAACAACCATATATTTAGATTACAAATGATTTGAAATGAGTATGTAAGTAATATAATTCCTGTGTTGATATAATTCCTGTGTTGATACGTGGTTTGCGTAACAGATGCTAGGTAATGGTCTTCTGGTTGATCCACATGATTTCAAGAGCATGGCGGACGCGCTGCTGAAACTTGTGTCGGACCGGAACCTGTGGAGGGAATGCCGGCGGAATGGCCTGAAGAACATATGCTGCTATTCGTGGCCGTCGCATTGTATGACGTACTTCACGAAGGTGGCTGGCTGCCGGCAGCGACATCCTCAATGGAAGAGTGACGCTAAAGAGCATCCGGACGTAGACGACGAATACGACGAACGTGAGGAGGAGCATTTCAATACTAGTGGGTCAGCAGAGATGGAGTCGCTTCTGATTTCCATGGACGAGGAGGGCGCCTCTCGTATTCTCGCATTCACGAGCTCCGGAGATTCCGACAGCAAGCTGTACATGTCCGGTGAGAAAGGAGATAAGGTCCCATTTTGGAAACGGGGACGAGGAGGGCAGTCTGGGGTGTTACGCACCATGGTGGAGGAGGGTGAAGGTGGGGGCTCGGCAAAACCAGCACTGACCGTGCCCGGCCCCATCAGCAGGGCGGTGGATGCGTCAGACCTGGCACCAGGCACTGTCCTCAGAAGCCGGAAACGGCTTCTGATCTTTGCCATCGACAGCTACTACGAGGACGGGCGGCCGACGGATTCTATTGTCCGTGCTCTGAGGAGAGCGATAAGCGTTGCTGGGATTATGGGAAGATCGGCGAGGGGAGGAGTTGGCTTTGGCGTCTCGACTGCCATGAATGTTCAAGAAATAACTGCATTGCTTGAGAGCGGTGGCATTCCGCCGCGGACTCTGGACGTTGTCATTGCGGGTGGGGGTAGTGGGATGTTTTACCCCGTGTTGGGACGCGAGGATGGAAGTGGTAGCAATGCAGGTTCGGGGAAAACCACGAAGGCAACGAAGAAATTCACCCGCGACGAGGACTACCCCTCGCATATCGAGTACAGGTGGGGAGGAGATGGTCTCCGGAGAACAATGGCACGCTTCCTCGTTCAGAGGACCCGAGATGGAGCACTAATCGAAGAAGAGGTGGCCAGCGGGCGTGCAAACAAGTGGCTGGAAGAAGATGTGGCTCGATGCACACCCTACCGTCTTGCCTACAAAGTTGCTAATACTGCACAGGTAGAGGCAAGAGGCTTTGGTACACCCGTTCGCCACATTTATGGTCTATTACTCTTTCATATAGCAATGACAAGCATCATGCCCTTTGACAGTGTTCTCCCTTTTTCTTTTGTCTTTTTTTTTAAGAAGAGGAATTTTTATAACGGCCCAGTGCCCAAGGCAACAACACAACAAACAAAAAAATCCAGGGGTCGCGAGGCCTCTTGCCTTCAACCTCAGGCAGAGCCACCCCCCTGTAGCACAGGTCAATAAATCCATGCTTTCTTTTTGTTTATTTTATCATATTTTCTTTTTTTTTGTTTGGTTAAACTTCTCTGAACTGTTTTCTCTTTATTTTTGTTTTCTTATTTATTGACTTCATTTTTGTTTAATTTATGTCTTTATTCATTTATTTTATTATTGTACATGTCATAAATTGAGAAGCGGCTTATTTGAAGTTATTTCATTTCATGCGTTGACAACGTCTCCTAGAAAAACAACAAACAAAATGAATATAATTGGCATTCTACTATTCTAGCCAAATCACTTTTTATGTCTTTATGGAAGTTTATTCATAATACCACTTTTAGTAGGAGTTGCTTTTTAAGTCGGTTGAAGTGAGAATGAAAGGTTTAGGTTATGGAAAGCCTTCGGGCTTACGTGGTTTACAAATAGGAGGTTTTATTTATTTATTAAATTATTAAAATTTATTTTATGATTTATTTATATTTTTTGAATTTTTAATTTTTTTTTTCCCTTCATTTCAGTTTTTTTTTTTTTTTTTTTTTTTTGTCAATATTTATTTTTTTTTCTTTTTATTTGCAGCATTTCTCAGCATGTGTGCTTCAGCATTGGTCATGTTGATCTTTTCTTCTTAAAAAAAAAAAAAAAAAAAAAAAACACTTTGAAAAAGTGACAAAGGCCTTGAGGCATCATCATCCAACTGACTGGCCTCAGGTGATTC